CTCCTCCTCCTCCTCCTCCTCCTCCTCCTCTTCCTCTTCCTCTTCCTCCTCCTCCTCCTTTTCCCCTCCCCCTCCTCCCCCTTCTTCCTCCTCCTCCCTCCCCCTTCCTCCTCCTCCTCTTCCCCTCTTCCTGCTCCCCCTCCCCAGCTGGCTTCCAACAAACAAATTCAATGGGGGAAGCCCACCTCACTTAAGGATCGTGTGATTCTCTTAACAATTGCAGTGATTTTCTTAATCCCAGTGGCAAAAAAATAATAATCACAAAATCAGATGCTTCACCAACACCTTGCTTAGCATGGGAATTCTGCTCTCCATTGTCGTCATAAGTCAAGGACCGGCTATGGTACCTATGCCAATGTTTGACTCTCACTTTCTCGTCCTGTCTCGAAGTTGCAAACTACAGTCTGCAGGAGTTCCTGCCATTATTGTACGGAAGGAATTCCTCCTGTTAATCATAAATACTTCAGTGAGCCTTGATTACACGGAGTCCCCTGACTTATGACTACAACTGAGCCCAGATTTTTTTTGTTGCTAAGTGAGATACTTGTAAATTACATACTTGAGATGTAAATTTTGCTGCATTTTGTGACCTTTCTTGCAGTTGTTAAGTGAGTAACGTGGTTGTTAAGTGAACCCCATTGACTTTGCTTGTCAGACAGTCACAAAAGGGGGTCACGTGACCCCAGGACACTGCGACCGTCATAAATATGAGTCGGTTACCAAGCGTCCGAATTTTGATCACCTGACCGAGTGGATGCTGCAATGGTCATAAGTGTGAAAAACAGTTCTATGTCCCTTTTTTCAGTGCTGTTGTAATTCAAACGGTCACTAAACGAATTGTTAAGTCGAGGACTACCTGTATTGGTCTGGGGGTCCTGCATCCGATTCCACGGTTGTTGAATTGAAGCCCACCCAATTTACAATTTCCTCCAATGAAAGCTCAGCTCTTCTCAGGATTAAGGAATTTAGCAAGGCTCCACAGAGATGGAGTTAAAACGTCAGTTTTAATGAAGCTTAACGGAGCCCCAGGAGAGAGTCTTTTTTTTTTCATTTTAATTAAAGCTTTTTCTGAACCTCCAGTCGCCAGAAATGTGCACTAATGCGCTAGACTTTTCATTAAGGGGGTACCAAAGGAGAATGCGGTCAAAAAAAGAGGGGAGGAATGGAGGAAAAAGGGAATCACAGCAAGAAAAGAAGGAAAGAAAGAATGCAGAGAAGAGCAACAAAGATGATTAGGGGGCTGGAGGTTAACATATATAAGGAACGGTTGCTGGAATTGGGTATGTCTAGTTTAATGAAGAGAAGAACGAGGGGAGACAGGATAGCAGCGTTCCAATATTTGAGGGGCTGCCCCAAAGAAGAGGGGGTCAAGCTATTCTCCAAAGCACCTGAGGGCAGGAGAAGAAGCAACGGGTGGAAACTAACCAAGGAGAGAAGCAACCTGGAACTAAGGAGAGAATTTCCTGACTGTGAGAACAAATAATCAATGGAATAACTTGAGTCCAGAAGTTGTGGGTGCTCCATCACTGGAGATTTTAAAGAAGAGACTGGACAGTTATTTGTCTGAAACGGTAAAGGGTCTCCTGCTTGAGCAGGGGGTTGGACTAGATGACCTCCAAGGCCCCTTCCAGCTCTGCTCTTCTGTTATTCTCTAATCCCAGATCAGCTAATCAGTGGAACGTCTTGCCTCCAGAAGCTGTGGATGCTCCATCACTAAAGATTTTCAAGAAGAGACGGAACAACCATTTGTCTGACATATTATAGGGTTTCCAGCTCGCGCAGGGGGTTGGACTAGAAGACCTCCAAGGTCCCTCCTGACTCTGTTACTCTATTATTCTGAATAAAATAGAAAACAATCACTGGGTTTCATAACACTCGTGTCTCATTCTTCCTGTTCTTTAATCCCTTTTTCTCCTGCCCCGAACGGCTCCGATGTAAAGAGGCAAAATTGCTTTTTTAAAAATCTGATCCCTATAACAAAGCCAGCCCCCCCCTCCCCCACCACAGAAACCCCTTAAAGTATAGGTTTTGCAGAAGTCCTGGTAACTAATTAGCTCACTTTGCATGCCAGACAAGCTGGTCTTGGCACTGGGGGTTGAAATCCATACCGTAAATAGATGGGGGGGGGGTTAATCTGCTCTCTGCCAGCTTGCCATCTGAGACCAAGAATGTGCAAAAAAGATAAATAAAATAAAATAAATAAAAATAGAGAAGTCAAGAGGAATCTGTCCAGACATTTCTTGCAGCACTTTGTCAAACATTGGGTCTCAGGAGAGCTGCATTATCCGAAGAAGATTTTTACGTTGCAGAAATTCAAAAGCAAGCCTCATTCGGGAAAAGCAAAACAATTCAGGGAGTCCTCCACTTACGACCATTTGAAAAAAGGGACCGTTTTCCACACTTACGACCTTTGCAGCAGTGGAACCACCTGCCTCCAGAAGCGGTGAATGCTCCAACACTGGAAGTTTTTAAAGAAGAAACTGGACAGCTATTTGTCCGAAATGGTATAGGGTTTCCTGCCTGAGCAGGGGGTTGGACTAGATGACCTCCAAGGTCCCTTCCAACTCTATTCTATTCTAGACTTCTAATTTTTAGAGAGAGTGCAGAACAGAAAAAAGCGGGAGAACAGTTTGGCTGATAATGGGAATACGAGAGGTAATCCTTGATTTATGACTGGTCTCTAAATCTTTCAAAATTATAATAGAACCCCAAAAAAGGTACTTGTGACCCAGATTTGAAGTTATGCTGAGGACCCTCCCCAGTTACATGATCACATTTGGGGCAGGTTAGCAACCAGCCTTCCTTCCTTCCTTGCTTCCTCCCTCCCTCCCTCCCTCTCCCTCTGTTTCTTTCCTTCCTTCCTTTCTTCCTTCCTCCTCCTCTTCCTCCTCCCTCCCTCCTTTCTTCCTTCCTTCCTTCCTCCTTCTCTTCTTTCTCCTCCGCCTCCCTCCCTCCCTCTTCCTTCCTTCCTTCCTTCCTTCCCTCCTTCCCTCTTCCTTCCTTCCTTCCTTCCTTCCTTCCTTCCTTCCTTCCTTCTTTTCTCCTCCTCTTCTGCTCCTCCTCCCTCCCTCCCTCCCTCCCTCCCTCCCTTCTTCCTTCCTTCCTTCCTTCCTTCCTTCCTTCCTTCCTTCCTTCCTTCCTTCCTTCCTTCCTTCCTTCCTTCCTTTCTTTCTGCCATCCATCTCAAAACAAAATGACTATGGGTGGCTTTACAACTCTTTGCAGCACCCCCAGTCACGTGATTCTATTTTACAATGTTTTTTGCTGGAAACTCATGTTTACCACACGGATCCGTACGGACACTGGGTTCGCTGTGCATTTGCTTAAAGAACATGGTGACTCACATTATGATCGCAGCAAAATAAATAAATAAAATTGGGTTGACCTGCTTTACTAACAGTACGGCTTGTATGGCCGCCATTTTGGGATCGATTCCAGCTATAGAGTGAGGAGTATCTGTAATCGTAAGCGTTTTGTGCTGCAGTGTTTTTGCCCTGGCTTGTCTTTCAGAGACTATTGTTTCCTCTGCAGGTCATCAAAGCTGGAGTGGAGACCACTTGCAAATGCCACGGGGTGTCCGGCTCATGCACCGTCCGGACGTGTTGGCGCCAGCTGTCTCCGTTCCATGAGATCGGCAAGCAGCTCAAGCAGAAGTACGAGGTGGCCCTCAAGGTGGTGAGCACCACCAACGAGGCCACGGGAGAAGGAGACATCTCGCCGCCGAAGAAATCGGTCCTGGGTCACGGCGACCAAATCCCCAGGACTACAGATCTGGTTTATCTTGACGACTCTCCGAGCTTTTGCTTGACCAGTCGGTTCTCCTCCGGGACGTCCGGACGGAAGTGTTACAAAGACAAGAACTGCGACAGCATCTGCTGTGGACGGGGGCACAACATCCAAAGCCGCGTGGTCACTCGCCCGTGCCAATGTCAAGTCCGCTGGTGCTGTTACGTGGAGTGTAAGCAGTGTACTCAAAGGGAGGAGGTTTACACCTGCAAGGACTGAAGGATGGGTGTACGGTGAGCCCCGATTTTTTCAGGGACAGGACCCCCTTGCCCCCTTCTTGGAGACAAAGACCGGGGACATCTGGTGATTTTCCCAATCGCTACACCCTGACATGATGGAAGCACTTTGAGGGGTTCCATGTCTTGCTGATCCTGCCAAGAGATTGTGGACGCCCACACCACTGGGAAGACCCCTTGCAATGACCAAGATGTGGCTTGGGGACAGAATTCTTTCTCTTCTTGACGAGGGCTGAATTGTCCACCTTGGTCCTTCCGTGTCCCCCTCATGAAAATTCTCTTGGACCTGGATGGTCCCACTTCATTCTGGAGGAACCCTGCCTCCTGAAGGCCTTCAACTGCAGAAGATGTGCTAGGGAGAAGTGGGCCCTAGAAGGATTAAAAAAAAAAGTAATTTATGGAGCTTCTGGGCTCCACGTTCCCATTAGCCCGTCGAGGTCATTGCAGAAGGACTGTTCCTCAACCCTCCTTCTAAACGCTTTGTTGTAGCAGATGGTGAAGATCTTGGTTTGTTTTTTTAAAAATTTTATTCCTATTTTCCCCCTTGTGCGTCCTCAACCTCTGTTTTTTTGCTCTCTTTTGCAATCTACTTGGTGAATTTGGAGAACCACTAGAGACAAAACGAGCCTGCGACCTTTTCAGCCAGCTTTTTGACTCCTTTTGTGATTTAATTAGGAACTTGGGTTTCTTCTAGAAGAAGAAGAAGAAGAAGAAGAAGAAGAAGAAGAAGAAGAAGAAGAAGAAGAAGAAGAAGAAGAAGAAGAAGAAGAAGAAGAAGAAGAAGAAGAAGAAGAAGAAGAAGAAGAAGAAGAAGAAGAAGAAGAAGAAGAAGAAGAAGAAGAAGAAGAAGAAGAAGAAGAAGAAGAAGAAGAAGAAGAAGCTTTTTGCCCCAATTTTTCTTCTTATGACTTCAGTTGGCACCTGAAAGCTGCTTCGAAACCAGCGTGACGCCCTGGCTGTGAATGCATTTTGGCACTTTGCCTTTGGGAAAATGGAGAGAGTGCCTCGCCTTTGAGACGATGATGCGGCTTTGATTTTATTTTCCCACGTCTGGATCACGGCGTCCAAGAATGCGTGTCTCTTGAGGATTGCGTTTCACCCGCCTTTATCCGTGCCAATGATATTCTCTGGGGCCAATGAAAAGCCTGTTGCTTTTTTTTTTTTTTTTTTTTTAAAGGGGCAAAAATTACTTAAACCACTAGAAAGCTGCACGTTAGACGTAAAAAGAGAGCAGCCGATGCTCGTTCCTGTTGATCAGAAGGGGAATATATATATATATATATATATATATATATATATATATATATATATGTATGGAGAAATATCAAAATGGCAGACTGGATCACTGGTACAGCTAGTTCTCGACTTACGACTGTTTAATGATCATTCAAAGTTACAACGGCATTGAAAAAAGTGACCTAGGGCCATTTTTCACACTTATGACCGTTTTAGCATCCCCATGGACACGTGATCAAAATTCAGACGCTTGGCAACTGACTCATATTTACGACGGTCGCAGCATCCCGGGGTCACCTGATCCCTTTTGCGACCTTCTAATAAACAAAGTCAGTGCGGGGAGCCAGATTCGCTTAACGACCGTGTTACCAACTTAATAACTGCAGTGATTCACTTAACAACCGTGAAAAGGGAGGTCATCAAACGGGGCAAAATTCACTTAACAAGTGTCTCACGTGATTTTTGAGCACAATTGTGGTCGTAAGTTGAGGACTACCTGTGCAAATGGGATGGTCCACACAGCATTCTTCTGATGTGAATTTGGGAATATCACAACTATGCAACTTTTTATTTTATTTCCCCCCCCCCCTTCAAGATGGGATTTGGATGAACAGCTGATAAATTCCTGAGTGAGTCGTCCATGCTTGATGGACAGTGATTTTAAAACTGGTCCAAGAGTTGCATTTATTTTTTTTTTGTCCTGGGGAATTGCAATTTAATCCTTTGGAGGAGTGGAGCAGAAATCTTAGAATATAGAATAAGGGACCCTGCCTGAGCACGTTTCTTGCACGTTCACCTCCGGGAAATCACCCCTGCTCTCAGGCCCAGTTTTAGGGGCATTTTGAACAAAATAATAATAATAATGATAATAATAAAAACAACAGCTGTAGCCTCTTCTATCAAAGCTGTCCTTCTAGGGAATGGGATGGTCTTGGAGGAGATGATAAGCCCGCGGGAAGAAGGATGAGATGGAGTCTTGGTTCCAAAGCTGGTGGGATGGTTCTGAGGTGGTGGAGGCCGTTTTATGGATTAAAAGAGTGACTGAAAAAATGGAAAATAGCTCCTAGCTTTGGGACATCGCCTGTAACTGGTATGAAATATCCAAGAACTGGTGTCTGCTTTGACGGTCTGGCGTCAAACCATTCCTGAAGCTACATGCCCAAGAATCTCCTCGCCTAACGGACCATCTCCGTAGCGCCGTGCAACAGATGGAAAAAAAAAACAACCAAACGAAGACTGTAAAAGAGTCTTTATTATTATTATTTCAAGGGTGGGATATGAATCTATCTAGATAGATTCCGACGCCTAGATCTAAATATTGAACATTTTATTTATTAAGCTTTTCAAAAGCTTGTATGGTTTCCATGTGGTATTATGAAACTGGGCCTCCCGTTTGGACATGTGAGCGTTCGTCGCCCCCCCTCTTTTTTTTCTTTTTTTTTTTGCACGCTGGTATTTGAACCCGGATTCCCGAAGGGGCTCTTCAATTTTTTCCAACACTGCAAGCCTGACCTTTGAGCAAGCTGCAGCTTCATTTTTCTTATATATATTCTGATAAATGTTATTTGGAAAAGGAGGGTTTCTGAGCCACTGGCTTTGGAAGAGTCTGGTTTTCATTTAGCTAAGCCCAGCGGTGGGTCCTGTTTTGTAGAAGGAAACTCGATGTTTTTGCTGCAGTTGGAACAGCTCACCTCCAGGGGCTGGGGGAGGTTTGGGAAGAAATGGGGAGGGGGGGGGAAACTGGAGAAATGGGATTTATGGAATCCTTGGTGCTCTCTGAGGCTCATGGTTTTCTTGCGGATGTTTTGTTACCTAACTATGTTAGCGCTGATGACGTTGCCTAGTTGCGTCATGAAACGTTTGCAAGAAAACCACCAAGAGACCAAGGACCCCACAGTCCTTCCTCCCCTTCATCATCTTCCTCTTCCTCCTCCTCCTCCTCCTCCCCCTCCTCCCCCCCCCCAGAAACACCTGTCCCTTCTAACACTGATGGCGTTCCCTAGTTGGATCAGGAAATATCTGCAAGAAAACCACCCAGCTCAGAGAGCACCAAGGACCCCACAGTCCTCCTCCTCCTCCTCCTCCTCCTCCTCCTTCCTCCTCCTCCTCCTCCTCCACCTCCTCCTCCTCCTCCCACAAACACCTGTCCCTTCTAGCACTGATGGCGTTCCCTAGTTGGATCATGAAACATCTGTAAGGAAACCACAAAGCTCAGAGAGCACCAAGGACCCCACAGTTCAATCCTGATCAACAAATATTCTTATCTCTCAGTAAATAGATCTTGCTTTGGGCTACAGTCTTCATCTCTAGAGGATCAGGGTGGAGAAGAAGTCCCAAATTCCCTTTTCCTGTTAGTGGGAGTATTCTTGGGCAGTTGGTCAACCAGAGATAACCAAAATGGGGCAATCCTTCAGTGCACCAGATCCCTCTGTCCATTATTGAAAATTATGAAAAGATGGTGACTTCATAAGCCACTTGCCCTCTGCAGCTTCTCAGCAGTGGGAAATCTTGATGTAGTTTTTCTGTTTGATAAGATGGAGAGTAATTTTTCCTCTTGGCCACTATCTTAGATACCTGGTCTAAAGATGGCTTTAAAAAGAACTTGCAGTCTTGAAGGATTTTTAAAGCTCATGGGGTTTTAGCCATGTCATCTCAGTTTGAAGATGACCTTGCTTGATTTTTGAAGGCCGCGTCTGAAATACAGGTAGACCTTGACTTGCAACCATTCGTTTAGTAACCGTTCAAAGTTACAACGGCACTGAAATACGTGACTAATGACCGTTTTGCACAGTTATGACCTTTGCAGCATCCCCAGGGTCACATGATCAAAATTCAGACGCTTGGCAACTGACTCGTATTTACGACGGTTGCAGTGTCCCAGGGTCATGTGATCCTCTTTTGCGAAATTCTCACCAGCAAAGTCAGTGGGGGAAGCCAGATTCGCTTAACGACTGGGTGACTAACTTATCAACTGCAGTGATTCACTTAACAACCGTGGCAACAAAAGTTGTAAAATGGGGCAAAACTCACCTAACATGTCTCACTTTGCAACGGAAATTTTGGGCTCAGTTGTGGTAGGTTGAGGACTTACCTGTATTGACTAAGGCTCACCAAAGAATGCTCACATCCTACCCAGTTAAGATCCTGGTTTAATCTGTTCTGATGTTCTGCAGATGCCATTGCTATGAGCTCTATGGATTAAATTGCATTTAAGTTTCTCCTTCTAGCATAATCATAGTTTGGAATCTTTCGTTAATTTGTTGAATAGGCAAACAGGCCACCATCTCACTTCGCTCATTATCAGAATTAATTTGAGGGAACCAGGTTACCGAAAGTTGAACCAGGGAGATGATGGCTTGCTGTAACTTTCTTTCTGTAAAACAATATTTCTCAATCTTGGCAATTTTAAGATGGGTGGAATTCAATTCCCAGAATTCCCCAGTCAGCATGAGTGGACTTCAACTCCCAGAATTCTGCAATCAGCATGCTGGCTGAGAAATTCTGGGAGTTGAAGTCCACCCATCTTAACACATGCCGGTTGGGGGATTCTGGGAGTTGAAGTCCTCCCCTCTTAACCCATGCCGGTTGGGGAATTCTGGGAGTTGAAGTCCTCCCCTCTTAAAGCATGCCGGCTGGGGGATTCTGGGAGTGGAAGTCCTCCCATCTTAACGTTGCTAAGTTTGAGAAACCTTGTTTAAGATAAGCTTGCAATCTTGGAGCAATTATATCCCCCCCCCCCCAAGGCTT